ACACGCACGCGCACAGGCACACGCACACGCACACACGCTTGAGATTCAAGAAAAAACAACAACAAACAAACCTCAGGAAACAAAACACGATCGATAAATTCCTGCATGTATGTGGTTGAATGGTGCATCTGATGTGATATGTGTACCTTTTTGATAGCATTACTTTCTTTTCATATTGAATTTTTATGAGAGTAATGTATGATTTGTTTATTGTACGTATACCTACATATGTTTTTACGATCCTGTACAGCCAAGAAAAATTTCCCTCTGGGATAATGAAGTATTATCGTATCGTATCTTATCTTATCTTTTATCCTATAATATCTTATGTTTCCTCCCACAGGGTGTGACCTCTGACCCATTTCTCAATGGCTCCAGCACGGGTTGGCCGTTGGTCAACACGAGCGATGGGGTCTTCGAGAATGTGACGGGCCCAGGCGAGGCGGAGACCACTACTATGGACTACCACGAGAAGGACATGCAGGACTTTATCATCGGGCTCTCCCTCGCGGTCAGCTCTTCCATCTTCATCGGCTCCAGCTTCATCTTCAAGAAGTTGGGCCTGCTCAGATACGCCAAGAAGGTCTCAGTGCGGGCTGGTGAGGAACATTGATGTTGTTATTGTCAGTGGAAAGGTTTCATGCCACTTTCAACGGTAGTGTTGGTGTTTGGCGCGGGTGCTGTGGTGTGATGTGCTTCTTCTTTCCTATCAAACGTCTTACTTACTTACTTGTCTTACTTGTCCGCTGTGTTGGGGTCACTGTAGTCGGAATACGTCCATCTATGCTCCCCCCCCCCCCTTCATGATCCATCCAAGAGTCTGTCTGCTTATAGTCTCCATCATAATCTGGTTGGAGATCCGTCGGACTGGTCCGCACTATCATCATTATCTCCCCTCCTTTTTTGTTTTTGTTACTCTCTTGTAACACCTCTAATCTTCGGCACTTATATGACCTTATATAAAGTGCCGTAAAACACTTACTAAAACATCAACAGTAGTGAAAGGTTAAACGACATACGTTTAATGCCCCTATCAACACTATTAGGTTATATAAGAGACAGGACCTCTGAGTTTAACGTCCATCTTCAAAAGGACCGAGCCAAATAATAGGAAATAAGTATGAAATGTCTTTTGTAAAGACACAACTTCGGACCGAGTTGAAGCTGGATCCCCCGAAACCGCAATCTCACATTTACGGGTGTCGTAGCCCAACCTCTTGGCTACCGACGCTACCTCAACAGTGGTGTCGAAAGATGGAAATTGTAAGCCCTGTGCTATAGGTTTATTACCCAGGGCCTGGAGGAGGTGGTCGGGGACAGGCAAGCATGATGTTGACTGTTCTACATGTAATGGTGTTATGTACATGCTGGTATAGGGAGAGAATGAGTAAGTAAGATAAGTTTAACACCCTTTTTAACACAAGGTTTCCTTCTACACTGGTGAGAGAAACGAGAAAAAAAAGAAGGTAAATAAATTTGACCCTCTCCCCCATTTCAAGCTACTTGACCAAGTGCGCAACATCTGGGATTGCCATGGGTGTAACAGTGGAGTAGCAATTATGTCTTACAAGAACTGAAAACAGAATGCGATGACTGTCGTGGTGTGGGAAGACACGAAGAGCAAAATATTACTTTTTCTGAAATGGTTGCAAGGACAAGCAGGCTATCCCAGATTTCGGGGGGTTCCAGAAATCTTGACCTACACCAAAAGTGGGCCTTACAACCCTACCTATAGGAGAAATTTGGTTTCATTGGTGTGTATATTTTTGGTTGTAGAGAAAACTCTCCGTGTCTTTTAAAGAAACTGAACAAGGGGCAAAAACTTTCCCTTCGATTTTCTCAAAACAGCATTTTTCAGGATAGCCCCCTTGTGCTTAAAAGCGACCAAATGACTACTTTATGTCGCTTCTTTTTCGGACAACTGATGTTTTGATACTGTATCATTTGGGCCCATTATCTTCTCTGATGAAAGTTGTCAGTGGAGAGGGGAAATCTGGGCTTATAAGCTGTGGTGGGGATAATTATAATTTTGTTTTACTGCTATTTTTGCTTTTTGCTTTGAGGCTGAATGAAGATGCGATGTTCAACTTGGCTAATTGTTTTCGCAACTAGGTTTTTGTAGGATTAAAGCAGTTAGGGGAGAATGTGTTTATGCATACCTCTGTTGCAAGTTGAGAACCATTAATTGCCAGAAGAATGTTTAAGAGAAAATTCAAATGCGTACAGAATTTCGAACGTTATAATTTTAAAAGAATGAATTTACATAATATATAACTATAAATGAACTGGTGGCCAATTTCGACTTGTGTTGTTCTTCCCAGTATTAACCTTGGCCTTCCTGTAGACAATATAGGTTGCTGCTTCTGCAATTTGGCAAGCGGTTTTGTATTAAAAAATTATCTCCTTCAGCTGAATGTGGATAATTTTTGTGGGTCTTACTATGTGAACATATTGTGTATTTTTTCTCTTCCCAGGTGCTGGTGGCTTTGGCTATCTGAGAGAATGGCTTTGGTGGGCTGGCATGATACTTAGTAAGTCAGACCTGCAGTCATAACAACGAATTGGCAACACTCGAATCCCACCGACCCTAGGGCAATGTTTAGACACTGTGTCACAAAACAATTTTTTTTAAGACCCACTATGTAAAGCCTTTTGGTATAAAAGTAAACATGTTCTTGAATTATGTGATTGTTGAAAGTCTCCCTTTTTTAAAAGCTATTTCCTTCAAATCTTCAAGTGGTCTATACTTATCTACGATGGCTGTAACATCGGAAATTATTATTATCATTAATTCAAAAGTAAATAAAAGGGGTAAGATCTTTTTTCTAGTCCCATAGTGTTTGCTCTAGAGACATTAATTACTACAGTAACAAGTATAAGAGATCTTATATTTATTTAATGTCAGAAAAATATTACTAAAGATTAAATTCCCCATTCCCCTTTTCTTCCATGTCTTTGAAGAAAGGAAAACACGAGTAATTTAATCAATATTAATAGTGTGTTGCTAACATGTCTTTCTTATCGGACAATCTGATGTGTGTTTTTCCCCCTCAGTGACTGTTGGCGAGTTTGTCAACTTCGCCGCTTACGCCTTTGCCCCAGCTACATTGGTCACTCCCTTAGGGGCTCTCAGTGTCATTGTCAGGTGAGGGTTTTCTATATACTATGATGGAATTTTTCTTTGACTTTGAGCTTTGATAAACACAGAACCACCACCCTACCCCTTCACAGCTATGGTTAACTTGGAACTACCACCCTACCCTCTCTCTCACAGCTATGGTAAACATTGACCCACCACCACCCTACCCCCTCACAGCTATTGTAAATTTAGAACCACCCCACCCCCTCACAGCTAATAAAATTTAAAACCACCGCCCTACCCCCTCACAGCTATGGTAAACATTGACCCACCACCACCCTACCCCCTCACAGCTATGGTAAACATTGACCCACCACCACCCTACCTCCTCACAGCTATTGTAAATTTAGAACCACCACCCTACCCCCTCACAGCTATGGTAAACATGGAACCACCCACCACCCTACCCCCTCACAGCTATGGTAAACACGGAACCACCACCCTACCCTCTCTCTCACAGCTATGGTAGACCACCACCCTACCCCCTCACAGCTATGGTAAACATGGTAAACCACCAACCTACCCCCTCACAGCTATGGTAAACATGGAACCACCACCCTACCCTTTCTGTCATGGCTATGGTAAATTTAGAACTACCACCATCCATCCCCACACCTGCCTCGCACCACTTTGTTGTCTGTCTGTCTCATTTGAACTATCATACATATATCTCCATCCTGCTCATAGTTGGTGGCCACTCTAAAACTCTTTGTTTGTCTTCTCCTTTTATTACTGTTCAATGTTTCTTTCTTTTTTTCCTTATAAGTTTCAAGCCCCAATGCTAGTTATCATTCTGATTCACGATAAACTGCAACACTCAACATTAACACTTTCATTTTTTTCTTTCTTTTAAAAAATAAAATGTATCATAAAATGGCACTGGAAAGATAGTTAAAACATTTTGCATCTAAAATGATGTTGTGTCATTTTTTCCTTCATAAGAAGCTACCAGACTTGAATTCATGTGGTTGCGGGTTTGTAGGTTTGAGGCTCAGTTCAGCCCAATGTTGTGGGTGGTTGGCGGGAGCTCTGGTGTGGTTTGCTTCTTCTTTCCTATCGAACGTCTATGGTCCTTATCTCCCCTTCTTCTTTTTTTATGTTTGTTACTCTCTTGTAACACCTCTAATCTTCTGGCGCTCATTTGACCTTATGCAGTTGCAAGCATCGTAAAACCTCTACTAAAACTAAAAACTATCCGCCCCATGTTGCGTTGTTGGGAAAGGCACTTAACTCCAATTTTCCCCCTGATGTAAATGGGTACATGGCTATAAACAGCAAAAGGTCTTGTCTGTATTTTATGTAAGTGTGTTTAAGCATTTGTAAAATGGAAGCTTGCACTGTATGTTTTCCCAGAAATTGTGATTGATTCAGAATGCTGTCAAGTCTACTGGGGTGATGATATAGATTTTAAAGTGCATAGAGCTTGCTTTTACGCTGGGAATATGCGTTTATGATATTGATTGGTCATTTTAAAGTGCATAGAGCTTGCTTTTCCGCTGGGAATATGCGCTTATGATATTGATTGGTCATTTTTGTGTATAATAGAAGAATGATTTATTCTAATCCTAAAATGTCACTGTATCCATTTTACAGTGGAAAAGATGTCACATCAGATTATATATGAAATTGAATTTGCTTGTGAATAATGTATGAGCCAAAGGTGTTGAAGTCTTTTTAAAAATTCCATTCAATTCTATTGCTCTAGCTACCTTGTGGAGGTATTGGGCATGAAACTTGTTAAAAAGAAGTTGTTAGTTTGATTCCTGGCTCTGTCAGCAGACAGGATGTTGCATCCTTGGGAAGGATACTCTACATTATTTTTCTAAGTTCATTCAGCTGTAACTGTGTACAGGATGCTCACTGTACTCTGGCTACAAGCAATGACATGTTGCGTTATACTGTCAGTATTGATGTTTTTTTGTGTATCATGGGGCGCTTATACCTCTGAAATTGTTCATGATATCAATTCTATTTCTCTGGATTTTTTAAGCATTAACCTTGCAATAGAATAGAAAAATGATTATGTTTTCATTGGATGAGGAATTGCATCGTTAGGAAAGGTAAAAGGAAGTCAAAATTTCCCCCATGGAATAAATAATAACTATTAATGTAGAATTTTTTAATTTTCTTTTTTTCCAGTGCTGTGTTGTCGGCCAGGGTTCTGAAAGAGAAGTTAAACATTCTGGGCAAGGTTGGCTGCCTGCTGTGTGTGCTGGGCTCCACCATCATGGTGATACACTCGCCGAAGGAGCAGGAGATTCATGACGTGGAGGAACTCTTGGACAAGATGAAGGAACCAGGTAGGGATTTTGTGTATTTTTTGTCGAGGGCACGTTTAAACGAAAGGGTTGCAGTGGCTAAGGGTAGTTGCATGAAAATGAGTTAAAATCCTGAAAGATAGAACTACCTCAATATCTACAGAAATGAGGGTTTTAAAAGGTTTACCTTTACGCTTCTCTCCATCCATCTTCCTTTATTTTTATTCTTTGAAAGGGCTTTTTTGTGTCTTGTAAAGTGTTTCTCTCTCCCTCTCTCTGTCTCTTTCTATCTCTCTTACTCTTTCTCTCCCAAAGGCAAAAACAAATGCATAACTCACGGAATGTTTACTTTATGGCTTGGCCATCCCCAGGTTTCATTGTGTACGCCTGCAGCATGGTGGTCATCACCATCGTCACCATCATCTACTTTGTGCCGCGCTACGGCCAGAAGAACGTCCTGGTCTACGTCACAGTGTGTGCCACATTGGGAGCTTTCACTGTCATGGGCTCCAAAGGACTCGGCACGGCCATCAAAGCCACAGTGCGGGGTCACAACGAGTTCAAGAACTGGCTCACCTATGTGCTGCTTGCAGTTGTCATCATTTGCATTCTCTTACAATTGAACTACCTCAATAAAGCTCTGGATACATTTAATACGGCGGTAGTGACACCGATATATTATGTGTTTTTCACCTCATGTGTCATTCTGGGATCGGCAATATTGTTTAAAGAATTCTTCAACATGGATGTCATGGATATCATCGGAGATGCTTGTGGATTTTTAACTATTGTGGCTGGTATTTTCCTCTTAAATGCCTTCAAAGACATGAAAATCTCTTGGAGGAATCTCCCTAAAGCCAGCAAAGATGCAGACACAGCATCAGTAGCTGGCGACGACACTGATGTACCCAACGGCAACCTTGGGCTGAATGGAGTGGCAAATAGTAATTATGTGGTGGACTGTCGGGATATCGAAGCACACATTTCTCGCAATATGTCAACGGAATGCATTACCCGGACAATGTCTGAAGGGTCGGACTGTAATGAAAATGGCTATGTGAGTGATCGTTACCATGGGAGTAGCCCGGTGCAGGAGATGTGAGCTTGCGTGATACAAAGCTGCATCGTTTATATATATTATAGGGGCTGCTGTGATGATGTGAGGGCTGGTGCAGTGGCTGGTGTGCCATTGCTCTCCATTTCCCTTCCTGTTTCTCCTGTCCGATCTGACAGAGAGGAAGATGAAATCATCTCAGCATGGCACCTGTAGCGACAGAGATTTGGTTCCGTTATCTACATCTTCTCTTCTTTGTCACAATGTTGGCTGAACACATTCTCAGTCCACAGGATTGATTAACTGTGTCATCAGTTTTTCTGGCCTCTGTGTGCTGCCTTGGGCAATAACTCTCTCCTCACCAAAATGAGCAAGAGGGAAACAGCCTTTTCAGGTGGATTGAAAACCGTGCTGTTTTCTGTACATAGAGGTTTGATTGACAAAGGTGTAGCCGTTGCCCTCACTAGCTATCACTCTGAAGAAAGGGTTACTTATAAATGCTGAGACTGTTTTTGTTTTCGTATATTTGCAAATACTGAGTTGTTGTTTTATTAAATCATACTTGCAAAAACAATGTTTGTTGTAGCATGCTTGCTACGCATGTGTTTGTTATTGAATGCTTGATAAAAGAGGCTGTGTTAGTTTTGAGAAACGGTGCTATTGTAATCAGAAGGAGTCGTATACTCCTGTATATCAAAGATCATATTGAAGGTATTATGGTCTAAAAGCGTATCTGGTTTCTTAAAAGTGTTTGAAAGGGCTAAGAAAGTTTCTTATTTAAATTCTGAGAGAAAAGACAAAAATTTGCCAGCCAGTCATCCTAGGTACAGCTTGTAGACAAAGAAAAGTTGACCTATTTCTTCCAGTTACATAGTTAAATCATAACACCTTTAATATTCTAGAAAGGATCACTTGTAGTGTATTTCTACTTTGTATGTCCTATGGTTTTGAGTGAACGTACAACATGAAAGGAATGTAAAGATGTAAAAATTATTTGGTCTGTGGTAAAAAGGAGACAGTCTTATCTACTTACTATTTCTCAACAGGAGCCCCAAAACCGATCTGAGAATAATTTAGCCTTAAGTTTTTATGCAAGTTAAAATGAGAGATGGAAAAGCTCTCACAAGGCAACCATAGGGCTGTGCCACCATGAACACTCGGGTGCTACAACCCTCGTAGAAACTTGTTATTTGTACTTAACAGTTTGGACAGAAGTACTTTATGATGGAAAAGACTCTACTGATTTTTTTATTTTTTTTTGGTACAATTGTTTTTTCTTGGTTGGGGGGGATATGAACTTTTTGCAAGCTTGTTCCTGTTTTACATCAGATCAAATTCACTCTGATTCAAATCAAAATTCTGATGTCTTAAAGAGAAATAATGGCACTGAATGAAATTTCATGATGCCATTTTGTTCTTGTGTAGTCAGTGTTTGGACTGTTCACATTTGTGGAGAGGACTTGCTTCATGAAAGTAAGATATCACACTGTCTAGAACATCATACCAGTCTCCATGTATGGCTGTATGCCCCTGTAAGGATGCTGTGTAGATTCTGACCCCTGAAGTGTCCATGACTGTTTATAGTACCATAAATGGAAGACAGATTTTGTACATGTGAATTTGTGGATTTGTCTTAATGGGAGAGAGAGAGAGAGAGAGAGAGAGAGAGAGAGAGAGAGAGCATTCATAATGTTACATGTGTGAGAGAGAGAAAGGGCATTGCTCTGGTAGACGGATGTGTACGTTAATGCCATGTGCTGTCGTAGCGAAGTGCACACTCACACAGGAGTCCTTCATGTTGACTTCACCACAAGCTTTCCTTTGGTGTATCTAGCTGTGTGTTGTGCAACGTCTATTGCTCATTACGACCGGAAATGGCAGCAAAGCAATTTTGAAAGCCATGAAAAATACTCCTGTACTACTCAGGTACTATTCTATTGTGTTATATGAAAACAATGAGATACTGACAACATTACTAGAGAAGATAAGAACATTTTTTTCTTCCCTTAATTGTGTAAGCTTTTGTTCCTAAGCAAGCTATTTTGTCCTAAAAAATTAAATAGTTTAAAATTGGAGAGATGGCCCCCTCATACTTGTGAGGGCTATGAACTGATTTAGCTGTACTTTTTTAGGATAATAGTTGGGTTTTTTTTTCCTTAATTAAGAAAGTAGGTTTAAACTGACATTGGGAAATAACCTAAAAAACTGTCAGGCTTTTTTTGTCTTTTTCCATTCAAGACATTCTGATTAGTGGACTGGCAAAGAATGATTGGTCTTAATAGACAAAATTTTTGTTAATTAATTGGAGCGAACTGTTTCAGTTGTACTGTTATGTCAGGTCTCTCGTATTTTTTAAGTTGAAGAAATAGTTGATTTAATTCCAATGCTTGTATAATTTTATAGTAATGTGATGGATGCTTACGAAACACAAGATTACTGCCTTGTCTCTATAGATGGGAGTCTCATCGTTACACTGAGTATATGACCAATTTTGTCCCCGTGCATTTTTTCTTACTGTCAACTCTCAACATTATTTTATTTCCTGAGCCTTAGCTGTTGTTGTTTTTTTTTTCATAGGTCTCTAATGTTTGAATTTTCTGTTTAGTCTCAAGGCCTATGTGCCCATCAAGGTGATATACTGTACCGATGAAGTGCCAGTTCTAGTCTGTAACTGTGCACTGTTTCAGTGCTATTAATATGGAGGCGAACATAGATTTGTTAAATGTGTACTTGCATACACGCATTTGTTGTATGTGTACAAAAGTATAGGTATATATTTCCATGCTACGGTACATGATCTTATATGTTATTATATTTCTTTCTGTATAATATATGAATATACAATGGAGTTCACTTAAACTAAAATCTGTTGGACTGTTGAATTTTCTTCAGTGAAGATAGATTTTCTGTTTAGAGAGGATACTTAAATGAAGGACAAAAAACACTTGGGGATTTATTTTCTTTAAGTTTTGTCACTGTTTTCGGATTAACTTTGTTCGGTTTAAGCAAATTCCGCTATATATATTTTATACACACAGAAGAGGGTAATTACATATTATAATACTTTGAGAATTTTTAATCAAAAGAAATTGTAATCTTACTGTTGTATCTAGTTATTGATTGTCTGGCAAGGATGTCCTGCTGTTCAATGCTACGTTGTGGTAAGTGCAGGTTCTTTTCCGACAGAAAATACTCTCATGTACTCAATACTCTCTGACAGAAAATATTGTCTGTCGGATGGATAAAAAGTTGAGAAACTCTTCTACAATAATAAAAGGATAGACAGAGGAACAGGTGATAGTGGAATGTCTCTTCCAATTTTTTCTCATGAAGTTAGAAAGGATGCTACATTATCTTTGAATTCAGTCTTTGTCATAGCATCGCACCTCCGGAAAGAAAAGTATAAAAAATCATAAGAAGTCAGCTTATAGAAGGAGACCTATTGTATACTGTCTTTGATAACACCTGCTATGCCTCATTTGAATGGGCTACTAAAAAAAATGTCCAGCACAATCAAACTGAAACCAATATGTCACGACAAAAGTATGCTTATTCTCTATCTTACTTTACTTACACTTTTTCCTTCTGCTGATACTGATGGGTGTCATGGGCAGTTAACACTTTGCCGTCACATCTCGCAGATCGGCAAGAATGCTGTATTTCCACTCCGGTCACAAAATGCCAATTGGCGATGACTACCACCCAGTTTCTTTGGATTTCCCCCAAAATGCTTGTGATGGCAAGGGTTTTTAATATATGATCCTTGTGATGGCAAGGGTTTTTAATATATGATCCTTGTGATGGCAAAGTGTTAAACAGTCATCTGTCAGCTGCGTCTTGAAGTTGAAGGGCCCAGAGGAGGGCTAGGTCATGGGCTCTGAGATGGTCCTTTACAGAGTCGTTCCAAAGACATCTTGGTGTCCCTCTGTGTTTTTTGTCCAGTCTGAGTGTCTTGTGTTGGAGGCTCACCATGCTGGTTGGTCTGGGAGCATTCTTGATAGGTAGCCCAACGATTTGTGATGCAACGCGGTGGAATCAGGCACTTGTCAATTTTTGGGCATGTGGAGTTATTGTTTAATCTTAAAGCTTGTTTATTTGTCTATATTTCAATGGAAAAAAAACTACCTTTGTCTTGAGTAGAAACAAGAGATATTTGTGATTGAAGGAAATGGGGTTGCTTGGTTTCAAAAGTAAAAGTAGGGAGAAAATGTCCGCCAAAGTTTGGTGACTTCCAAAGTTTGAGAGTCCTTTGAAACTGTAAATTTACATATTGTGTGCCTTTAATCAACGCTTTTCAGTAACTTCCTTTCAGAAACATGTTTTTAAATGGATATAGATGTGTTGAGTCAAAAAAAGAAAATTCTTTAAAATTTGCCCAAGGTCTACAAAAATACCTGTTTCTTTGATTTCATTGTTTTGATGAGCGCCTGATCTCACCACGATGGCTCACAGTTAACTCACTATTGTTCGACATGGCAGAGTAGTAACGTTGTTCCTAACTTGTCCATGATTACCTCATTCCTGATCTGATCTCTCCTGGTCGTGGTCTACCCAGACATTTATTTTGCAAAGGGGTCAGTTTCCTCTCCTGTGTTTTTGTCAAAGACCAAGTTTGGCACTGGTAGGTTAATGTTAGTATAAATATGGCATTCACGAGTTTTACCCATGTGTGTCCAGTGATAATATGTTGGAGTGAATTGATAATTAACTGACTTCATTTCGACTGCTTAGTGTAAGACTCTGCCATAGGCCATCTTAAAAAGTGACGTATGACAGAATTTTACACTGATCAGTCAATTTGCTTTCCGCAAAAAAAAGAACTATACTTTTTATTGTTCTGTTTTTTGTTAATGATTTTGCTTTTTATTTCACCAAACAACCTTTTATTGCCTTGTCTTTTACACTTTAAAAGTAAAAAAGGTACAGAAACAAGATGGCTTAGATTTTATGGCTCATCAAGAATTCATACATGTCTACTACTACCAGTTCTTGTCCTGCCTCTGCTCATTGAATCTTCCAGTGCAAGCAGGAGAGGCTGAAGTTCACTTTACTAGCCTGCTGTTTTTAATAAAGAGATAGTTGTGAAGATTGCCTGTCAAAAGGTATATTCTACTTTTTCCTGTTATATTGTGCAGACTCTCATCTGTTATGAATTGTCATCGGTTTAGTATAGAAGAAAACCCTCAAGCTGTTAACATCCACAAGTGGAAATGAAGCTTTTTATTGCTCAAAATGTGGTAAAACTCTTCCCTGCCTGAATTGGTTTCAATAGCCACAGCAGAAGTCACATACCATTCTCCGCAGATACGTTGGTCACTGTTAAACGTTGTTGGACAAACTATTATTATTGTTAGAAGAGAGGAAAAGGAAATTCTTTGATAGAGCAAGATATAGGTTTGATTCTAAACCAAGACATCTCTCCTGCATTCATGAGTATGTTTGCTGTTGGAATGAAATATTCCCATACCTGACAAATATTTACCTTAACCTGCAGGCAGGAGAAGCCTTGATCCCCTTAAATTCATTTTATGTCACTTAATGATACACTTGTGACACGTTTAATGAGACTGTTAAGGTTGTAAGCCAGGGACAAAAAAATGATAGGGTTGATTAGTTCTCTTTGATCACCTTTCCTTTTTTCAATAGTCTTGGTTTTTGTTCTTTCCGAAGTTTGTTAGCAACTAGTTTGACCACTGGTCAGACAAACAACACTCTAAACCACTGTTGCCAGCCATAGTTCCTGTTATTTGATGTTATCCAGTTCTTTGCAAACTTCTTGAAATGAAGGTGTGGAAGGTTTAAAGCCCTATTTACTCAGATATTCTCAGTTTATTGATGTTATCATGTGGTACAAATGCCTTTAACCAAAAGGCCAATATAAAGTTTAAAACTTAAATCTTTTCTTTAAATGGGATTAATGTACTCGTACTTATTTAAAACTGTTTATCATTTTCAATTTCTTTGTATGTCAAAGGCAATGTGATTGTCTCTTGTCGCATGATAAATAAGGTTTAGTATCAGTATGAGGGATGAATATTGATAATGTATATATGGGCCTGAATGCATATTTTTGTGGCATTGTTACAGACACATTTCCGCCAGTATCTAAATAATCATTTATGGGTATATTGATAAAGGACTTGTATTTTTTTTCAAAGACTTAAGCATTCATATCACATATCATAATTTTAGTGTGATCTTTCTGTGGTGTATATTAAAATTGTTGAGTCTGCATATAATATATCAGCGTATACTCTCTTAATTTTTGTGGGTGTTTGCATGGGTTTTTTGGGGTTGTTGGTAGCCTGCATATTATGAACCTGTATAATGATTTTAAATTGTGTAACTTCTCAAAGCTCACAAAAAGTAAATACTGAAGAAATAAAGATATAACTTGCGTTGTTCCAAAAAGTAAATACTGAAGAAATAAAGATATAACTTGCGTTGTTCCAAAATGTAAATACAGAAGAAATAAAGATATAACTTGCGTTGTTCCAAAATGTAAATACAGAAGAAATAAAGATATTGACTTCCGTTGTTCCCTGATGCATGTTGATTATATTGCAGCAAGAGATCTGGACATGGTTGAAAAATTACTTCCAAAGAACTGTAGCCTAAAGTTTCCAGCAGCGTCACAGTATGCAGAGTGACTTGGCAATAAATAAATTAGCCTTATAATTTATTTATGTCGTGATTTGCACTCACTTCAGAGGAGTTTCTCTAACGTCTTATAACTTTTATAGAATGCCAGGGTAAATGCTGAGTATTCAATCACTGTCATGTATGTACTTAATTTCCACAATTGGGATCTACTTACTTCTCAAGCCATTAGGCATGTTTTTCAGACCTTTACTGTGTTTTCTGCAAATGAGCTGCCAATTGCAATTGCAGATGTATTTGATGTGCACTGTTTTGGAATACAAACGTCAGAATTCACTCAGATGGTAAACATGGCT